TCACAGTCACTAAACCCAAAGTGACTCACCACATTTTTCACGTAGTGGGATTGTAACAGAGTTACCCCAGCATCACCTTCTCTCAGAAGCTTGATATTAAGAATAACATCAGCCTCTCCCAAATCTTTCATTTCAAAATTATTAGATAAAAATTCCTTCACCTCCTCAATCACTTTGAGGCTGGATCCAAAGATCAGTATGTCATCAACATATAATTACAAAATAACTCCTTCACCCCCACCATACCGATAGTACACACATTTGTCAGCTTCATTCACAACAAAGCCAGCAGATGTTAGAGTTCTGTTGAACTTCTCATGCCACTGCTTAGGAGTAAAGATGGCAACGGGCAGAAAAAATCTGCATACCCGCGGGCACCCGAACCGGTGGGCGAGGATACGGGAGCAAACCTGTGCCCGCGGGCACGGGTGCGGGCAGAGGTATAAACCCAACGGGCATTCATTAACGGGTAAGAAAATAGCCTATCCATATCCACAAACCCGTCTTAGTTACCTGACAGTTGGGGTCACAGCCAACCAAGTATATATTGGAAGTTTGGAACCCTAGTTTCATTCCATCCCCATCCAGCCACCCCACCAGTTCCCTCCTGCCGCCGCCGCTGCCTTCCTGGCTTCTAGCTTCCTGCGAACACCGGGCTCCTCCACTCATCTCCTTTCTCTGTTCCCTTTCAACCAGAGCAAGGCCAACACGGGCTCCTCCATCCCCTGCAGTGCGACTCCTCTAGCAGAGCAAAGCTGACGCCTGACGAGAGTAGGATGACAAGCTGTAGGATTGCTGCGGATCTCCCTGCTCTCTTTGTGTCTCTCACTGCTCGATCTGCAGGATCTCCTCTCTCTCTATGCTCGATCTGCAAGAGTGCAACATCTAGGTGCTTATTCCCATTTTTGATCTGTGGATCTGCTTTGTTCTTTTGGCGGCATAGGGAGTTGTGACCTGTAAAAGGAGTCTGTAACTTGTGTGGTCCTTAATCAGTGCTCTTGCAAGATGCGTTTTTTTTGTATTTTCATGCTTTTAGATTATTGATTGGAGCTTGCAAGATGCATTTTTTTGTATTTTTTGTTCTGTAATCCCCGCTTGGCGCCGTGGATCCATCGGGGAGGCAGCAAGCCACCCTAGCACCTCGTGAGGCCACGACCCCAGCACCCGCCTCCCGGCGTCGATTGCGCCACGATGCTCTTCTCGCAGGCGTCGCTCGGCGCTCCTCCACTCACAGTATATGGGCATGCCCGGCGAAACATCCCAGCGGATAGCGGAAAAGGGCGCAAAGTGGTGCCCGTGTATGGTGGTGGGCGAGGGCACGAAATTTTCTCATGGTGCGGGTTTGTGTTACCAGATCCCCATGGATATTACCCGTTGCCATCTTTACTTAGGAGCTTGTTTTAGGCCATATAATGACTTTAATAATTTACACATCTTGCCTTCTTGACCATTTGCTACAAACCCATCCGGCTGATCCATATAGATCTCCTCCTCTAACTCTCAATTTAGGAAAGCTATCTTAACATCCATTTGTTGAACGATAAGACCATAAGAGGCTGCCAGGAAAAGCAAAACTCGAATTGTAGTCAATCAGGTAACCGGTGAATAAGTATCAAAGAAATCATCACCTTCCTTTTGAGTATAACCCTTGGCCACAAGTCTTGCCTTGTACCTCTCGATAGTACCTTCAAGCCTAAGCTTTTTCTTGGACGCCCATTTGCACCCTATAGGCTTGCACCCATAAGGACGATCAACTTTCCAAGTTCCATTAGACATAATATAATCCATCTCACTCCGTACTGCTTTTTTCCATAAGTCAGCATCAGAAGAGGAATATGCCTCTTTAATGGTCGTTGGTGTGTCATCCATAAGGTACACAATATAGTCATCACCAAAAGACTTTACAGTCCTCTATCTCTTACTTTTTCTAGTGACTATAGTGTCATCCTCCTCAGGATTTTGCATATAGGGTTCCTCAATTTATTCTATTGGAGTAAAAGTTTCAAGCTCATGGAGAATTATAAATTCGTGACCAGTCGTGCTAGGTGCATTTTTTATGAGAAATTCATTCTCAAAAAATGTAGCGTCTCTAGATTCCATGATTGTATCAACAGCCATCTCAGGAACACTAGAATTTATAATTAAAAATCTATAACCCACGCTGTGAATAGCATAACCAAGAAAAACACAATCAACAATCTTTGGTCCAAGCTTTCGCTTTTTGTTTATTGGCACATTCACCTTTGCCAAACAACCCCAAGTTCGCAGGTAAGAGAGATTTAATCTCTTCTTCTCCCATTCCTCGAATGGTGTAATTTCATTGTTCTTTGTGGGCATCCTATTCAGGACATGACACGCTGTTAATATAGCATCACCTCACCATTCCTTAGATAGTCCCGCAGTCTCTATCATGGCATTAACCAAATCAGTTAGAGTGCGGTTCTTTCTCTCTACAATCCTATTGGACTGTGGTGTGTATGGTGGCGTCCTCTCATGAATAATTCCATACACCGCGCAAAACTCAGAAAATTCATTTGAGAAATATTCTCCCCCGCGATCAGACTGCAAACGTTTGATTTTTTTCTCAAGTTGATTTTCTACCTCAGCTTTATAGACTTTAAAATAATGCAACGCTTCATCTTTAGTTTTCAATAAATATACGTAGTAAAATCTAGTACAATCATCTATAAATGTCATGAAGTATTGTTTACCGCCGTTAGTCAATTCGCCATTTATTTCGCATAAATCAGAATGAACGAGTTCTAATGGTGCCAAGTTTCTCGCCTCAGCAGTCTTGTGAGGCTTACACGGTTGCTTCGATTGCACACACACCTGACACTTAGAATCTTTGACTAAGTTAAATTTCGGGATTAAATTCAGATTTATAAGTCGCGTGAGACGGCAAAAATTAATGTGACAAAGTCGTGAATGCCATATATTGGACTCATCCAAAATATTAACATTGTTCACTAATTTATTACACACACCATCAAGCAAAGATAAGCGGAACAAGCCTCCGCAATCATAACCTTTTCCATCAAATGTTCTATGTCTTGACACAACACACTTATTGGACTCAAGCATAATTTTAAAGCCATCGCGACACATTTGAGAACCGCTAACAAGATTCTTCTTGATGGAGGGGACATGCTGCACGTTCTTTAATAGCACCGTCTTTCTTGAAGTAAACTTCAGAATGACCGTACCAACACCAAGAACACGTGCATGCGAACTATTTTCCATCAGCAAGAATCCAGTCCCGCCGGCCTGATAGGAAGTAAACAAAGAAAAATCAGCACACACATGAATATTAGCACCGCTATCCATCCACCACTCAGGTGAAAGACAAACTGAAAGAACAAAAGATAAAAAATTACCATACCCATATGTTCCTCCTCCAGTCTCGCTAATCACCATGTTTGCTGATTTTTTTTGTTTATATTTGCGGTCTAGGCACGCACTTGTCCAATGCTCATTACTCCCGCAAACAAAGCAACCTTCACCTTTCTTGTTGTTTTTCTTCTTAAACCCAGCAGTTTGCTTAGGCTTTGTATTGGTGTTCTCTTGCATGTTCTTCTTCTTTTTATTACGGGATGCAAATGAGTTTTCCTTCTACACCATATTGGCAGCGGAAGACTCAACTCCTTTTTTATGGTTGTCTTTTGCTCTCGCCCTCTCCTCAACATCAAGATATCCAATAAGCTCAGCCACGCTAAACTCTTGTCTTTTGTGTTTTAAAGAAGTAGCAAAATCCCTCCAAAAAGGTGTCAGCTTAACGATTATACCGTCGGCCACAAACTTATCGGGCCACAAACTTATTGGGCAACAAACATGAAAAATGTTCTAGTTCCTTTGTTAGCGCCTGTATCTCATGAGCCTGTTCCACTACATAACGGTTTTCAACCATTTTGTAGTCATACAGCTGCTCCATAAGATATAGCTCACTACCAGCATTAGAAACACCAAACTTTACCTCAAGAACATCCCATAATTGTTTGCCTGATGTCCAAGATATATAGTTTTTCTCATAATTACTATGAAGTGCACTAATCACGGCGTCTCGAAACAGGTTATCGGCAGCCAAGAACTTTTGCTCCTCCTTAGGAGTAAATTGTTCAGGCTTTCCCTGTGCGGTATGATAGCAGTTCATAGCAGTCAACCACAACAGCATCTTGGCACGCCATATCATGAAATTCTTGCCATCAAAGTTATTTGGCTTCAAAGCAGCAGCAAAACCATAGACAGAAAATTGCCTAACATTAGGTTTTTGGATTGTTAGATAATTAGGTATTTTCATGGTCAATTTAATTCAGAAATAAAACATCAGAAGGTTCGTGACGACATATATGTGTATGTGTATATCGCTAATAAACGCTACATCATGCAAGTATGATATTCTGATCGATACAGTAAGTACGCAAAGTACGGTAATCATAGAGCTAAGAGTGTACCCAGCGGAGGGTCCCATGCCGAGGGCATCGGAGGCTCCATTCGCACCAGACATAGTGCGTTGCTTGAAGTCGTGGACCACAATCGATGTAGGAAGGTGTTCATAGTGCAGTCCCACGAACGGTCACCAGAAAGAAGACACCTTACTATTCCGCGAGCGATCACCAGGGGAGATTAAACTGACGGAGGACTTTTCATTTTATGCCTGCGGCGGGGAGAAAGAAAAACAGCGGAGGAACTCAGGAGACGGTAACCGGCGCAATTAACTCGTCTTCACCATAAAAGAGAGAAACTCCCGCCCACGGCCTCAGCCCGGCCCTGCCCGGCCGGCGGCGTGCGCGCATGTGGCACTTCTGTGTCATTTTCTCAGCTTCTCAATTACAATGAATAATTTCCAACCAAATAAGCTGAGTCAGCGTTCACTCAAAATTCCGTACGATATTAAACCATACAACGATTAATATTACAGACCATAGAGTTTTATTTGATTTATTAAATATTATACGGGAAGCACAACAGCTGTAGACGTGTACGTCCACGGTCCATCACAGTCACAGCATGACATCGGCATTGGACGGCAACCGCCGGAAGAAGCTCATCAGCGCCGACGGCTCCTTCCGCCGCAGCAGCGGATGCCTCATCACGTAGAGCCCGGTGACAGACACCAGCGCCTTGAACGGCACCGCGTAGCTCACGACGGTGAGCGCGGCCACCGCCACGAGCGCGATCACCGTGGCGCGGCCGTCCCTCCACCCCAGCACCGCGTGCACGCGCTCTCCCTTCGAGGCGACGTCACCGATGAACCCCTGGATGTGAGCAGCCGTTTCCCGGAGTCGCAAGTACCACAGGAGGAGTACCTCCGGCAGGGTCCCCGACGGCAACCCGGCGTCGAACTCCTCCTCGAACATGGCCTGGGGAACGCCGTCGCTGTAGTGCTCCATCTGCGCCGGCTGCGCCGGCCGCCGCCAGAAGTTCCACACGCCAACGGCGAAAAGGTAGAGGAAGAAGGTCGGAAGGATGAGCTTGGGCATCCACGCCAGCACGAGGAACACGACCAGGACGAGGACGGTGGTGACCGGGTTGTCCCAGTCGCGGACGCCCCGGAACCAGCGCGCGAACGCGGCGAGCGGGGCCAGCACGTCGCGCAGGCGCGCGCAAGCGGCGAGGGACCTGCGCATGCTGTACGCGTAGGCCTCCGCCACGTCGGACCTCGGGTGCGCAGACGGGTCGCGGAGGAGGTAGTGCACGGCGCCCGGGAGCAGCGGCGGCTCGGCGCGCGCCAGGCGGGACGCGACGACGTCCGCGGCGTTCCGCCGGAGCCTCGGGAGGAGGTGCGTCGGGATCGGCTTCGCGAAGTGCTGCTTCGGCAGCGCCGGCCGGAGGTACAGCGACATCATGTTGAGCCACGCCGTGTGCGTGAACCGGACGGCGAGGTGGAGCTCGCCGCACCGGAGGAGCCCGGTGGGGTGCACCACGAACAGGGAGTACGGCTGCTCGTACGTGCGGCCTGACGCCAGCGTGGATACGCGGATGCGGACTTTGCCCAGCGGCGCGTCGGTGTCGCCGCGCCGCGAGGCCTCGGCGGAGGAGAGCTGGCTGTTGTCGAAGACGGCGACGGTGAGCACGGTGCAGGGGTCGAACACGTCGAACGTGAACTGCTCCTGCCAGCTCGGCGAGGCCGTGTCGAGGAGCGTGCGTGTCCGGATCCACTTCTGCCCGTACTTTGCGACGCAGTAGGCGTCGACAGTCCCTCGCCCGCCGTTCGGGCGCTTCGTTGACCGGAGGCCGGTTGCTCGCAGGACGGCGAGCTCGAGGACACCGATGGCCTGCGATCGGAGCGGCCGCGCCGATGGCTGGAAGTCGCTGGCGTACGACGTGACCTCGTCGAGGACGTGGTACGCCGCATCGTAGTAGACGCGCAGCTGTATCTTGCTCCTGAACTCGTGCCGCCGTCCTGATCTGTCCGGGGCATCGTCGCCACCACCGCCACCGCCGTCAGATGAACGTGGCAGCTCGAGGTCGTGCCATGACGGCGCCGGCGGCTTGAACTTCTTCTTGTCGAACTGCTGCACCTTGATGCTTCCTTTGGGAAGGTGACCTCGCCCAGCAGCTCGTGCCGCTGCGGCGAGGTGATGTCAATGACGGCGATCTCCAGGGGCTCGTCGAACGGCCACGCCGCGACGAGGAAGAAGTCCTCGTCCCACTTGGCGCTCGGCGACGCCCGCGTGCACCACCTCTGCCCGCCGAGCTGCACCCTCGCGAACACGCTCATCCGCGACCGGCGGCTGCGGTCAGGGTGGACCAAGTCTTGCGCGGCGATGACGTGGCACCGGAGGTAGCACAGCCGTGGCGCGAAGTAGCACTTCGTCTGGGTGGTGGCCACGTTGGCCGGTGCCAGGTCGTGCGCGCCGGAGTGCAGTGCGCCGGCGAAGGCCTCGTCGGACTGCGACCCCTTCCAGGCGGCGACCATGACCTCGCCGCCTGTCCACTGGCCCTTGGCGCCCGTGAGCCTGTACCATTGAGGCGCCAGAGGGCGGTTAGGAGGAGCCAAGCTTGGGAGCTCGAGGATGTTCAGGGCAGCTCTGCCGACGATGCTGTCCCACACGATGAGGTTCTTGTCCTTGACGATCACCTCCACGCTGTCCGCCTGCAGCTGATCCTTGGAGAAGGCGAACACCTGGTTCCACTCGGGCTCATGGTTCCTGACAAGATGACGTGTCACCGCCGAGTAGTTGCCCACCCGGATCTCCACGTACGGGTCGGTGCCGGAGAGGCCCCTGCCGCGCACTACGTTGACGTACAGGAACTCCAGCTTGTCAACCATGAGGTACTCCGCCGCCTTGGCGTCGTCGGCGGTGGCAGGCGCCGCAGCCTTCTTGGTGGCCTTTGGGGCTGCGGTGGGCGGTGGCATGGACGGCGGTGGTGGTGGCGGGAAGATCAGCGACCCGGTGCTGGACTGCGTTGGGATGGAGTTGAAGACATGCACCGGCGGCGGCTCTTGCACCGGTTCTTTCTTCTTCTTTTTCTTCTTGATCACCATTGCAGGAGACGACTGCGTGCTCGCGCCTCCGATCACTGTCTCTGGGCCGCCGGCCATGGAGGCGGTGTCGTTGAAGGTACTTGTGGCATACGTGGTAGAGTAGGCATTCCCCGCCAGCGCAGCGGCGGCGGCGCTGGGAGTGGCCGGCGGGCCGTACGGCGCCAGGTAGAGTCGGAGCGCCACCTCGCCGCGCGCCGGGGCGAAGAAGCTGGGCTTGTCGAGTGGGCAGCGCAGGAGGACGGCCTCCTCAGCGGACGGCGCGACGGCCGCGCCGAACAGGCGGACGCGGCCGAGGCAGCTCTTGCGGCCCGAGGCGCGCCGGTGGTAGACCCCGACGTCGATGGAACGGTCCGACAGCCGGCCGCCGCGGCCGGCGACGATCGCGTCGATTACGAACACGACCGTCTCGTTCCACGTCGGGTTGGCCTCGCCGGGCCTAACGCCGGTCGCGTGGCGCTGGCCGCCGAACGCGACCTGCACGAACGGGGTCACGCGGCCGCGCCTCGCCGGCAGGTCGTGCGCGCCGACGACCTCGACCACCAGCTTCATGCTGTAGCGCACGATGACAGTAGCCTCGAAGCGTTCGGTCTGATGTCGAATGTTGCCTACTTCTGCATGAGGTATATTTCACGGAAATGCAGAATGCTGCAGACTTGCAGAGTCTACGCATATATGGCTTCCGGGTCAATCCGAGCTACGTCATGCTGCGGTTAGGGTTCATTGCATGATTAGGGAGGGTATCATTTTCTGGTGCAAATTGATCGTGCAATTGTAACCCATTGGCTAAACATATGTCTGCGATGGCGACACTAAGCATAGTTGTGTGTGTGTGTGTGTGTGTGTATACATACATACTTGTGTATGGCCCATGTTGGCTAGATTGGAAATGGCGAGGATGACACAGGCGAATAGAAAGGAAGCTATAGCCAAGTACAGGCTGAACCAAGAAACCCAATTGATGATATAGAAACAATAAGGAGATTTAATCCAAATCTGGTGTTTCACTTATGCAATGCTAAATCAAGTCTCGTGACCGATCAGGTCACCACCCATTGGTCTACACTTGCCCGTGTGTGTGTGTGTGTGTGTTGTAAGCAATGCATGCATCATTTTGGGTTGTGACGTTGCTGACGGTATAGTACAATGCAACGATGATATTTGCCCAACTTTGTTTGACTCCGAGTTCCTAAGCACAATCATTCGGTCCTTTTTGTATTAGCAAGCTAGTACGTAGTCTCTTGGTTACAAATTACAAGTCTTGTTCCAAAATATATGTAAACAAAATGTATATCCAGGTGTATGGCAGAAACTATGTACTTGAAAAAACAGAAAAACAAAATGACTTATAACTTGAAATACAGCCAGAGGGAGTAGTTACTACCAAGCTTAAGCGTTTGCTGCACTGACTTGTCCACACATGACAAACATGTTTTTTTTTTCCTTAATATCAAAAAACAGTGGGACTATTCTTGTGTAGTTGTGTTTGGTTTTCAAGTTTGGGCCGACAGTCTCACATTCCAAATGACATCACCCTCACTGGATTAAGCTCTCCATACATTAGCTCATCGTTCAGAAATAAATAAACCCAGGCAGGGGCGCAAACCAGGGATGCTGCTGCAAGTAATCTTCAAGGGCTACAAAAGATAACATATAAACACATCATTGACTGAAATACACTCATATGCCCTGGTCTTCCAAAAGAAACATTATCTTTGCTTGCCGCAATGGATTTCTTGTGTACATCCTACATGGACGATCAATTCCGCGAGAGCGACATCATTGAGAACCCCGATTAGTTCCAAGACATTTCCACAAGATAACATTGACACATCATAAGAAATGGTTGGGAAGGAGTATATCCCCATTTTCTCTACACTGATTATTACCAGCAAGTTGATTACTAAGTTACTAACCTTATGAACTTGACATCTGTTACACTACAGCAGCACCTGACTTTAAAATAAAAATCCCAAAACGATCGACAATTAAATGAATGGCAATTCTATGGCTCCCTAAAGCACTGTTCCGGTAGCGGATATGCAAAGTGGGAAACGTGCTACCAAAGGTACTTTTTCAGAATTCAGTGTGGAAACACGCTACAAAAGTATTGCGGGTGTAGTGGATGCTGCTGTGATTCTAAGACAGTTCCTATCCAACACGTCGAAGTTCCTGCCCTTTAGTCTCAAACAAGTTGGGATAGGCTAAACGAAACACCATGCAAACTAAAGAGAACAAAAAAAGGTAGTACTAAAATGAAAACAATAGTATAGTCCAGGCATTAGTGATATACTCCATAGTAATAACAAGTCCAATTCATAGATCATGACCTGGACAGGAGAAATTTTAAGTAGTGTTTCTGACAGTGGAAGAAAAAGGATTATCCCTGCAAAAGTGCACGTCATAAATTCTGCCCCACAAACGGTCAAACTAGACAAATATAGGTCTACAATGGTCATTCGGCCTAGAATTCTGCAAGCCAACCAATGGAGCTGAAACAGGCATGTGCTGAAGTCTACTTCAAATCTTCAATATACTCTCAAGTGCAACAAAAAAACAAATCAAACACATTAAGAACATATACTTAATATATTAGCCTACTTGTGCTACAAAGGGGGGGTGGGGTATAAAAACTGGATGTGGCAACTCATAAGAGAGGCGAATCTAGCCCACTGGAATCTACACTGCGGTGATATTCATCGATGTACTCCTACAATTGACCAAGAGAGGCCACACAAAAAGAACCTACATGTACTTTCCAGTACTCTGACTAATTCCCCAGCTAATAGGTATACATTTATCAGGGCAGTTCCACACTTCCATGGAGGAAGATAGGCCAAAAAAAGATGAAAAGAGTAACCGAAGGGAGAGCGACCTCCTGTGTAGTTTCAAAAGTTAATCAGAAGCTCAGGGTATTACTCTGCACCATACTGTGACAAGACATGCCAACAGCCTCAACCAAGTTTAGTCGCATTTGATATTTCTGTAGATTCTCCTCACAAATAGGGTGGAGCCCAAATATCCAACAGCACCTACATACATAGAAAGTAGTTTGAAAACTATTATGATGATCTATGTAAGCTTGAAATGAAATGAAAAATAGTTTGAAAACTCACCACAAAGTATTCCCAATCCAAGACAGAACATCAAGGTGTAACCAAAATAGAAGCTTGTCTGGAAAAAGCCTGACATCTTTGTCTTCACATGATAATAGTATATAGAGTATAGATATACATACAAGGCGGTAGATGCAGCAGAGAAGAATGATGTCCATTGCCAATGATAGTTCTCAGCATTCAACAAGAAATAAGTACCCACAATAGTGACACATATGGTGACTATTATGAGGATGACAAAGACCAGCAACATGAAACCATAGACGTAGTACACCTGCCAAGGCACCAAGTGATGGACTCAATATTTCTTGAAACCAAAAGAAAGAAACTTTGCTTCTGTAACTAAGAAAGTAGTGCAGATCATTCTAAATGCTGGTGATTGGAACTTTAGTACTTCCAATTGGTGGAACATTCAGCAATATATTGTTTTCTTTACCTTGTAGTTCCAGAAGGAAGTGAATACGAAGTACATCTCAATGAAGATGCTGCCGAAGGGGAGAAGCCCACCCATCAATGAAATAACAGAAGGTGTGAGGTACCACTTCTTCTCAGGGATAGGGCGTGGGATCGTTTTCACACGACAAGGGTTGTTGGGAGCACCACTCCAATTTCTACCAACTACAGTCCCCAATAGAACCAACGGGAAGGAGATGAAAGCCCAAAGAACAAACATAACAACCATTGTGCCAAATGGTATAGCTGCTAATGATCGGTAGAAGATAGCAATAGTGTTTAACACCAATCCAATCGAGAAACACAAGAATGGAAAAAGTGATGCTGTAAGGATCATAGCCTTTATCCAGTTTTTGCCTGCCATATTATGTAGTGCATTCAGTGAGGTGAAGAACAAGGTAACAGGAAATTTTCAAATTCAAGAATCTATTTATTGGAACAAAATAACATGGGTATGCATAACAGAGGACTTTTGAATAAAAAAATGTGCAGAATCATACCACCATTCCTTGAATAGAGGCCACCACTAACATATCCAGAGATGAAAGATGTAAGAGCATAGCACACAATAAAGGTTGTGATGATAGCTCCTCGCCTGGTGAATAGAACAAAGTATTTTTGTTAGGGGCTTGAGCAAAAATGTTAATGCATACTCATACAAGGTGAACAATATCCTTGTTGATTAAAACTGAAGTCTGTACAAGTGCAACGCATGAGAGGTTGTGATGATGGCTTCATATATCTGATAGATAGAGCATATATGCTGATCTCTAAGAATAGTTTTGCATCTACATTATTGATGTACTCACACATAATGTTTAAAGCAGGATTCTAGTAATTTCTATCTTACAAACTTTCCATGCTCTCCAAGTCAGAATTGCATGGGTTGTAAATTCTGGGTTGCTTGCTCATTCACATCACATCTCATTGAGCACTATTCCAGATGTCAATAGAGGGATTTTGCCAAAGGTATTCCCAGATTATGCAAAAGCAACTATTTTATCTAAACATCCTACAGCGGTCATATATCAAAATCAGAGATCACTAACCTACCAAAGAAATCAATTGCACCATATCATTTCGTCTAAAGAAAGAGATGATTTTTTAAGCATAAAACAAGAACGCCCTTTGAAAGCTAAGACATTCTTATTCATAATTTTCAGGTTCAGATAAATATATTGATTAGCCAAAAAAACACTTCCATCAATTAAACACCTGGATTTTGCACATCCAAGGAAGAAAAAAGGAGATAAAGAAAGATGGTTATGAGCTTACCCAACATATAACATGCCAACAATGGCCAACACAATCACAAGCAGGATAAGAGCTGCCAGCTGAGTGCCAATACCAACAAGGGAAGAAAGAAACACCAGGCTGTGAGGAGGTCGGAACACATCACCATGGACAAGCTTCCACCCAGATTCCTCATTAACATCTCGCTCCTGAAAAAGGAAACCCATATCTTAATCCTGAACAATCCATCGAGTCACAGAAAAACTTGTTACTTGCAACTTGTATGATTCAATTAAATTTTAGATAAATTGATTTGTTGTTTCTTTCAGAAATATTACATTGCTGGCATGAAAATGACAGATGGATTTTTCTATAATAATCTCATAATGATTGGCTAAAAGATTTTTCTATTTTAGAAATATCATATGATATAGATAAAATCAATTGAGAAAACATTAACAAGATGTTTGGTTCTACAGCAGGTAACGCAAACGAAAATAATTTAAGCCTGCAAACGTTACCGGCTGCAGATACAAATGAACTAATTTTGATTAAATTTGCGTTACTGTGCACGTTACCAAACAGCACCTAAGTTACATTAGCAGGCAAAATGAGAAATATATAAGTATATTGACGTGCTACAGATTCCTGGTTCAGAACTTACAAGTGATTCCAGATCGTCATCTTCACGAGCGTATTTTGCATAATCATTTCTTAGTGTCCTCATCAATATCATTGACACTAAACCAGTCAAGAAAATAACCATCATGAATGAATTGAAGATGGAGAACCAATGAATCTGAACATGGAAAAAAAAATAGTCACCCATCTTGTAATTACTCAGACAGAAAGCAATGTCCGCCTTTGTCAGAGTCAAGGAAAGAAGACCAAAGTGTCCTTTTGAAAAGGTATGTTGTCTCTTGTGCAAGCAAGAATTACCTGGTGTTCAAAGAACGGGTAGTCTAAGTAAACCTCGAAACGCCGTGCAAATGCCACATTTGTTTGCACCCACTTTACTGAATAAGTCATATCCAACTTTTTACCAGCTTCAAGAAGCTTAGGTGACTCTTGCGTTAGATTCACATGAATTATCTGCAGAGGAAATTGAATTAGCCAACATATTGGTCTCAGCTAACTCCGCCTATGTTGTCTCAACATAGCAGGTCCCAAGCCCTGGTAAAGGACGAGGGTTGTGATAGGCGTGGCGAGCCAACGTTAAATCTAGCCATTCTAATGGAGATTGGTCTCAGCTAATCCTTTTAAGGTTATATACAACACATACCCTGTTACCATTGTATTTAACAACAATGTTCTTATGAGTGTAAAGGTAGTGCTTGTTCTCATTGTTTTTGTCAGTCTCCCCAACAAAACCTGCTCAGAGGGAACTGGCTCCGTTATTTCAAAAGAAAATATAAAGAATTTGTGCAACAGAAATGGTCAGGTATAGAACCACCTACCCCACAATGGCAGATCATCTAGGTTATTGAACCACGGTAAGCATTGGAGCAAAATGTGGACACAGAGAATGTCAGAAACAAGATAAAGCGCCCAAAAACTGTGGATTAGAATAAAACTAAATGAGGATTTTCCATACCTATGAAAAGCTCAAACCAATATGAGTTTTCAATGGCATTAGCAAATTGCTGAACCTTTTGAGCATCAAGTTCAATTGTGCAAATGGCCCCCTTGTCCACATTTTCTAAACAAAAGAAACAATCAAATGAAAAGCCAATGAAATAAATCAATTCAGTCACAGGAACAAACATGCATCAATGCATGGTCCAAGAAATAAACAAACTTCAGGAGGATGTCAAGAGAAGGCAAGCATACTTATGAACTTTATATCGATCTGACTATCAATCAGCTCATTTCCACCAAGGACCTCTCCGAGACCACCCCATTTATGCGCAGGGTTTTCAGATGGTTGACAAAATGGGAGACTGTAATAGTTGTACGTCTCTTGAGGGTTATTGTAAGGCCCAACCTTGTTTACCCATAGCTTAACAGGTTCTTCTGTTTTATACTGCACATAAGAAAAATAATTAGAAGCTGCAATGCTTCAGTAGATGAAGGCATTCTTATCATAGTTAAATTCAGTGCAGGTAAATTTTGAAAAGACAGCAACATGTAAGCTGGTTCTGGTTGTAGGAAACAAGTTTTCTGAATATTGTAGCATCAAGGATAACAGTGAAAGATATAGAAGCATAGCGATCATGATGACTAAATGTTTAATTTGAAACAGCCCCAACCATATTCAGGAAAAAGAACTCTGATATTTCTTAAGCCCAGTGATTCAATCTTCTAATCACTAATCATCAGAGGCGTAGACATTTCATGGACTTTAACAAAGAGCAGCGCTTCTAGTCAGAAACAAAAGGGTAAGCAGTCTAACTAGGACTTTCATAATCCACATATTGTTTTACCTTACTAATCACAAGTTTCTGTCTAATGACATCAAGGCCTGACTTTACATCACAGAGTAACACTCACCATACAGATCAGAAGACACTCAAAGTAATTATTCTGACAGGTCTAAATGCAGTTACACTCAGCATGAAACTTAAATAATAATGTCCAAAACAGAACGGATACCCCCAGGACATTGCTGAAAGGACCTGCCACTGTGCTAAAGCTCAACCCTTCTTAGCCAACTGTGAGTAATCTACTCCAGAATTTTAACGAAAAAATGAAGAATGAAGATGTCTTCGTCTTTGAACCATCAAGTCAAATGCCACTACAGCATGCTCAACTAGTATTTTCCACGATGGAATCCCCACACGATAACTACCGAATTAAAGTGTATGTAGCATAACAATTATAAGCCCGCGATGAAATGCATGCATTGCGCCCTTTCGAAAACATGGCATGCACCATCTAATAAGCAAGACCAAGAAAACATGCATGCGATTGTAAGCGAAGCGATGTCCCCTATGCTTATTTAATCTTACACGAGGCCTACTACAATGACACAACTAGAACCAGCTGTTTCTCAACGAGAATGGTAACACTATCTGAAAGTTTATTGCATGCAAAAAAAAAAAGGAACAAACTTTTGTCCGAATGCGGCTGTCACAATTTCTTGCCCACATCCCCCCATAGCAACCAGGATCAAAACAACCAGCTTCTGAAACAGCACTCAAACCGTTGTCTCGCTCATCTCATCATGACTCCAAATCAGTAAGCACCCAGAATTTCGCACCACGGAGCTACAGACCAAAGCCGTCCCCTGGTACTAAGCACGCGGTCCCCCAGCGGCCCAGCGGCCCGCTACGCCTAGATCCGGCGCGGCGCGGCGCCTCGACGGATCCAGCCAAGGGAGTGTTCGGATCTAGGGTTGGGATGAAGGGGGGCACCTTGTGGTCGGCCTCCGAGGCGTACGCGAGGGGCGAGTGAGCGACGGCGAGGAGGACGGCCGCGAGGAGGAGCACGCCGCGGCGGAGCATCTCGTCGGCGGCGAGATCTGCGCGGAGGGAGGCGGCCGCGGGCGTGCGGGGGGTGTCTCAGTCTCGAACGAGCACGAGCTGCCTCATACGGAGGAGTTGGTAGGCAGAGAGAGGTTTTCCGCACAAGCCCTTGTGAAATGTTGTGCTGTCTGCGAGAATGTTAAGCTATGAGAAGAGAGTAATCACGGGGCAAACGTGAGAAAAAATCTTGACAAAACCGTGTAAATGCATCATAGGCATCCTTCTTCATTCCTTCTTCCTGTGTGCTGAAGCCTGAAGGTACGTCAAAACAGTGAAGAGATTGTTACTCCTTCATTTTTTTTGTGAACACTCCTTCCATTTTTTTATATGTTATCTTAAGGGAATATTTATATCTTTAACTATACATTTCAAAAAAATTACATGAGTTAATGGTATAATATTTATATTTTTAAATTCGCTAGGAGAAATACTTCTATAAATATAATTCATATAATTGTATATTGTGAAACTATAAGGATTTTTCAAATATATGATCAAAGATAGTTGATGGGGAACAAAACTAATGTGACATGTGAACCGAGAGAGTAATACCCCACTTATTTACAAAACACAAACCATTTACTCATGAGTCAACTTTGTATTGATAATATTTTTTAAAAAATATATAACATCTATTTTTTCTGAATAATCTTTTTCTTTAGATCTGCCATGTATTGATATTTTATTTATTTGGCATACTACAGATGGTAATATCAGAAGTATAGTTAGAGGTGCGCGAACTCACAAATTTAGGCGATCTGAAGTGGTCGATGATTTAATAAGTCAGTAAGTCAGAGTGAAAAAAAATATGAGCAACAATACACAAAAGGGCTCTTTATCACCATAATTATTTTTGGGTATATCTTTTTTTATTACGTATGTCGGATTCATAAACCCGGGGTTACTCAAGGACCGGCTTCCCAGCAAAGGCTCGGCCCGACAGACAATGTTGCAAACGACGCACAACTCTTGGACCGACCCATAAACACCTAAACGACAGGCCAGAAGGACAATCCAATCTTCGACCGAAAGGCCTGGCCGAGGAAGAACGGCATCCGCTTCCGACTCCGGTCCGCCTCTTCGACCGAAAGGCCTCACGAAGGAGGAACAACGCTCACTTCCGTCACCGGCCCACCTCCGGACGGCCTCTCCGACCAGAAGGCCTGGCCAAAACACCACTTCCGACTCCGACCCGCTTCCCCGACCGGGAATGCGCCGAACCCCTGCTTATAGCTCCTCTCCGACTGGCGCAATCAGAGCCAACTGGGATCGACCGACCGAGGACGCCCGCTCGGTAAGGACCAGGAAACGGACGGAGAAAGTAAAGCAGGGCACTCAAGTCAACCGCAATACCAAGGACCGTACCATGTACACTTGCAGGACACTACCCTACGACCTCCCTGACATGACAGAACTGAAGCAGTGTTGTAGGCGCCGACATTTTCTCCTACAGTGTTGTAGGCGCCATCAACTCCTATACCAGACAAAAACGGTAAGGCTCCCGCCACATGTCTCTGGGCATCAACAGTGTTGTGGGCGTCAACATTTACCATACCATGCGAACATGGTAAAACCCCCTACGTGCCTCTGGGCATCAACAGTATGACAGGCACCGACATCTGTCCTACCAGAAGAAGACGACGCAACCTCCCACGTGCATCTGACATTAAACAGTATTGTGGGCGCCTACCATCATCTTGTACCCGCCGGCGTGGGCAACAAAACTTAGTGACATACGCACTCTCTCCCTCTCACTTGTAAGGCCATCCCCTTCATCTATAAAAGGGGATGCGCCCTCTCCCAAAAAGAGATCGATCAGTTCGCTTGTATTGATTCACCCTCTGTAACTTTAGACACTCTAAGGTTATACCGAGCACACGCTCGAACACTTAGCATATAGCGGGGCTCCTGTCACTCTCGGCCCATCAGACCAGAGTCCGACCGAACCTCTTGTATCCCCATCTTTCTCCCTTCCGATTGTAACCCCACAACAAACTTCGAGCACCTGGACTTAGGAATAAAGTCACCGACCGACTTAAACTAGACGTAGGGCATATTGCCTGAACCAGTATAAACCCTGTGTCATTGAGTGCTAGGCCACCTCCGATCACAACGTACAATAAAACTACAAATATTTACGTGTTGGTCACTTTCTGCACCGATAGTTGGCACCGTCCGTGGGGAAGACGCTATACGTTCAACACTTTTTAGTCATCGGATGGCCCACTTTTCCGCCACCTTCGCCATGGCGGGCTCAAGCGATACAACTTGCTTCGGTTTACTGGAGTCTTCGAGCCGTCCCAGGCCTTTCTCTTCGGAAGCTTGGACTTCGTCGCCGACTGGCTCGGCATACTACACCTCCGCGAGGAGGCACTCGTTTCGGCGCCCGTCGGAGGAGCGCCCTCCATCGGCTCCGGGACACCCGACGACTTCAACGACGAGGCCCCTGTGCTTCATTCCGAGCAAACTCTCTGCTCAAACCCCGCTGTGAGTAATGTACATACTATTATTTACTCTCTATTTACTATCTCCCACCGATTATCCGGAGGGACCATATTGTCCGCACTGCAAACACCGTACGACCGGTTCCCCTACGGCCTCGCATCCCCCGCAGACGCGTGTGCTCGGGGGCTCCGAGGGACGCTAGCGCCGCCCCCTCTCACATCCAAATTTGTGGAAATGGCGAGCTATACTCCCATCATTTTCCACGAACTCCTAGATGACAAGGTCGAAAGCGACGGCTCCAACATCGGCGACATGGCACCTAGCCACCGTCCGTCCTGGGAGTGCGCTATGGTGGACGCTCCGGAGCAGCCGCCGATGGTTGCGGAGTCTGTGCAGACTCACACCCCTCCGGACCCGCGTGCGGGGGCCCTCGCGCTTGCACAAGGGCACGCCGAGGAGCTACGACAACGGCGGCAGAACCAGCCGCCGCTTGCGCCGGTGCGCTCGGTGCAGCACGTTGCGCCCCATGCGTGTGACCCAGCGAGCGACGCTCGGGGTCACGCCCGCTAGGTCTAGCGCGACATCATGAACGAGGGGAACAACCCCCCGCAGTTCGCTCGGGCTAGCCAGAACATCACCACTGCGGCAATGCTTCTGTGCGGCATTCCTGAGCCCATCTACCCCCAGGAGCGGGCGGTGTACCGGAACCTCCGGGCGCTGGTGGAAGCCACTGCCGTACCACAAGCGAAAACTCCGCATCGCGACTCCGACTCACGCCCTCTCTCCCCACTAGGGGAGTAGGGACGCACCAGATGGATCGCTCCATCCGCTCACCGCTACAGCCGCAAAGCATGGCTCAGGAGGCCATGGCTGCGCCACGGTCCGACCTAGCGCCTGCTCCACACCGACCGCCGGCACACGAACGATACCAAGAGGCTCGCAGCGTCATCAGCAACCGGCATCATGCCCAGTATGATGATGACGTCCTTTGGGCGGCGGCAAGGACAGGCGACACAGGCCCCGGCCAGACCATCGAGGGGAGCGATGAAACGCGCCCCAGGCATGGCCACCGGCCAGACGACCCGAGTCCCAGCCCTGATGGCCCGGGACCGTAGGCGTTTGGTCGGCGTATCCAGAGAGCGTCGTTCCACAGCGCTTTCGACCACCCACCAACATCGCCAAGTACACTGAGGAGACAAACCCTAGTATTTGGCTCGAAGATTTCCGGCTCGCCTGCCGAGCCGGAGGGGTGGATGATGACCTTTTCATCATTCAATATCTCTCCATCTGTGTGGGGGAACATGTTTAGGCGTGGCTTGAATTCCTCCCGCATGACAGCATCCGTGACTGGGCGGACCTCAAGAGGGTCTTCGTAAAAAATTTCCAGGGGACGTATGTCCGCTCTGGTAACTCATGGGACCTCAAAAGCTGCCAGTAGGAGCCCAGTGAGTCCCTACGGGATTACATCCATAGGTTCTCCCAATGATGCAACTCCCTCTCTGATGTCGTCGATGCCGACGTCATCAGCGCATTCCTCTCTAGGACGACCTGCTAGTCCCTGATCCACAAGCTTGGCGACCTAAAGCCCCGTACCACCCGTGACCTGCTCGACGTCGCCACTAACCACGCCTTTGACGAGGAGGCGGCCAGAGCGGTCTTCAATGGAGGTCGGGACAAGGGCAAGGCCAAGCACGTGGACCAAGACGAGGGCCCCTCCACACAGAGGGGCAAGAAGAACAAAAAGGATCGGCGCCGACCGGACAACACCAAGTTGGTCGGCGCGGCTGATCGCGTGGGCAAGCAACCCCAGCAGGGCCTGCCTGACCACTTCAACAAGCTCATAGATAGCCCGTTCACCAACCATGCCTACCCCGTCAAACACCTCTACAAGGACTGCGAGCTCCTCAAATGTTTCCTACGACAGGCTGGCGGGCCAAAAGAAGGAGAGGGCAAAGAGGCGGCAGCCAAGAAAGGGGGCGCGGCAGGCAAGGACAGGGACAGCTTCCCCGACCCCGAGGAATGCATCATGATCTTCGATGAATCCGAGGCCATCTGCTCCAAGCGCCAGCACAAGGTATGCTACAGGGAGGCATACGCCGTCGAGACGGCAGTCCCCTCCTTCCTTAGCTGGTCAGAATCTCCGATCACCTTTGATCAGAGAGACCACCCCTCACACGTCGCGAGACCGGGACACTACCCCGCTCGTCGTTGACCCCATCATCCACAAGAAGTGCCTCACTAAGATGCTGATGGACGAAGGCAGCGGCCTCAACATCCTCTACGTCGACACCCTCGACGCCATGCACATCCCCCGGTTGGAACTCTGCCCAACGGGCTCTCCCTTCCACGGGGTGATCCCAGGAGCGTAGGCGTACCCGCTCGGGCTGATCGACCAGCCCATCACGTTTGGCAACTGAGCCAACTTCCGCTTGGAGGTCATCACCTTTGAAGTGGTGGACTTCTCGGGGTCCTACCACGCCATCTTGGGGCGGCTATGCTACGCCAAATTCATGGCAATCCCCAACTACGCCTAC